ATATATATATACATATACATATATATATATATATATGTATATGTATATATATATGAACAGCATCCATGAGCTGTCAGAGCGGCTCTGGCTAAACTCATCAACCCAAAAGTGGAGCCTGTTCCTATCCCTGCATTTGTCACAGTGAAAGTCTCTGAGAAGTGTAGAAGAAACCTGGACGTAGATTGACAGCTCTCAGCAGAACTGCAGTTAGAGCAATTTTAGGAACTGTGGCTTGAGTATTTTAGAAACTACCGCACCGTGACGTCGAAAACAGTCTGCACTGGATCAGAGTTTCCGGCCCAACTCATCCCCACACACACACACACCCACCCACTCCATCTCTTAGTGCCAGTTCTGTCCTGGTACACCCTCCGCCTCATCACCTCTTCCTCCTCCCTGAAAACCGCTCACACCACAAGTTGTTTCAGTAGAGCACAGCGCGGCCTGAAAATAGAAGGGTTAAACATAGAGGTCATGGTTTCTCAATGAGTATAACTGAGGCATTTATGTGTTTTTGTGCATGTTGGAAACAAGGGGGGAGAGAGAGAAAGAAAAAGTCATTTGAGAGAAAATGACCGGTGAGGAAAAACACAATCACGTCCAATATTGTTTCTGTTTTATTAACCCTTATTTCTCAAAGGTCAGATAAAGTGTTGATCAAAGTTGCCGTGGCGACTCGGTTTATGAAATAGCGGCCCCTGTGAAATCACCGTTTATTAAAAACATACGTAAATCGTCAGACGTGAGGACGTCCCAGGAGACAAATGTCAAACTAGTCACCAGAAAAAACACCACATTATGTTGCCCTTATGTAAACCCCTGCAAACCACACACTTACATGAGATCATGCTTTTTTTTTTTTTTTACAAACACCGTTTCCAGATAAGTTCAACTCCAAACTGAGGCCCGCAGATCAGTCGGACAAAAGCTCGGACAGAGTCGGAGTCAGACTGAAACGCTAAAAGTTAGAATTGCAAATAGACATGTAGAGAAGGAAGACAGCGGTGCGTGTGTGTGTGTGCATCATTGTGTGTATGTAGCATCCCAAGCATCTCATTTGTTTTATGGCTCACAGATGTTGCAAAGCACTCACCTTCAAAAGACAGTAAAAGTTCAGCAGCTGTTGAAAAACTGGAAGAAAAACTTTTTTCTTGTGCTCGTACAGATAAACAAAGCTGCCGTGATGACAGAAAGTAAACACTTTGAGTTTGATCGGCCGATCTCTGAGACTCTGATGCTTTGCTTGATTACAATCAAAGCCATTATTTAGGGGTAACGTCACATTTAAAATCCCCCTTGTGGTCATTAGACAAAACACTCAAAGACATTTCTTGTCTTTTGTGTGTGTGTGTGTGTGTGTGTGTGTGAGCACAGTTCTGCCCCACAGGGAGCTAAGTGCCAGGTCAGAGTCAGTAGCTGAGTGATTCTGTCAGCCTACTAATCCGTGCTGGATTACACTGAAGTGGGCCCCTGAGGTTTTCCCCTCCGACATCAGCTCAGTTATGGTTAAAATATCACACAGTAGTTGTTCTTCCATCGCCCCCCCACGCCCCCTTTGCTGTACTTAGAGTAATACTAAAACTGCGAAGACCTGTATATCATACCTCAGAACTTAAATCAGCGGTCCCCAACCTTTTTGGTACCAAGGACCAGTCGGCCAGTATTAGCCATTACTGTGGACCAGTAATACTGTAGTCGGCCAGTATTAGCCATTACTGTGGCAAAAAAATCGTTGAAGGATTATTAAATTTTCAAAAAATTCTGTTAGTATATTTAGAGTCTGAATGAACAATTTGGAAACACTGACAGATTATCTTTGAATGGAAAAAAATTAAAGGGATATGACTGGATTAAATTAGTAAAATTGAAGTACAATTTTTCACTGTGTCCCACTGGGACCCGGTGCCAAATGACCTACGGACTGGCACTGCTCCCCGGACCAGGGGTTGGGGACCCCTAATTTACAATCTAGTATCATTTGATAAAACATCACAGACATTTAAAATTCATCAATTGGGCCCGATTAAAACCCCTAGTGGACTGTTTTTTTACCCACGGGCCCTATGTTTGGCAGCATTGTTTAAATGTTTCAGGTTGTACATTTCGTAATGGTTGGGAAACATTGTGTTAAGATCAAAAAATTAGCTTTTGCTACCAGAGGTCATGTGAGATCATGTTACATGTAACGTAGTTTCTAACAGTAGAGAAAATAAACAGTAACATACTGTATTTGCTCCAGTTCTGTCAAATGAAGTGTCCTGGTTTGACAGTTGTAGTCAGCGAAATGGTGAGAATCCTGGAAGTGGGGCGTTGACTTTCCCTGGCAGTTAATCTGCAAAGAAAATACAAATAAAAATTGTTCATGTCATGATGATTTGATGTGAAACGAAATACGAGAAATAAGATGAGAAATACAAATGTTGATTGTATTATTCAACATTCATTTAAAACTGTAACTGAGACAAGAATTCGGTCTGGGACGTGTCATGGAGTGAGAGAAAAAAAGTCTAAAACAAGCTTGGGATTAAACAGCTGAACTCTGGGTTGGAAGAACAACAGCTTTACCTATTAGGAAGCAATCTCATGATTTATCGTCACATTCTTCCTTTTTGATTTGTTATTTTGTGGAAAACGAACCAGTACAAGAAAAATGAGGTTCACTGACATTGAGTCCAACAATGGACAGGGAAAAAAAATACTTCCACCACTCAATGTTGTAATGTTCTTGTCACCAAACTGGTTCGATGGACCTTTCATAAGTTCCACTGCGGTTGGAACACGAGGTCAGGGATGGTCCAGTGGAAGGTGCCGCTCACACCAAGCCCTACTCCGCAGTGGTGAGGGCCTGGAAGTTCTCAGCAGTTTTGGCCGCCGGATCAGTACGGATCACCTTAAAGACTTAGTCATAAGTATATCTGCCAACAATGAAGGCTAATACAACTCTGTGTGAGGTCACCATCGTGCAGATGGTACGAAGACAAAGACATTTTCCCGACACGAGTATTTTAAGCATAAATTCATATGAGTCATGAAGTACTAAAGTTACCGTTTGGTCAACAAGTAAAGTAATTGGTTTACTCAGTACAAAGGGGTCCTTGGTTTACGACGTCCTCAACCTACGGTGTTTCATAAATTTATTTTGGTGTTTCATGGTTACGTCGTCATCTATCATAAATTTATTAAAAAAGTTGCATGCTATTATTCTGTCGTACTGCGTTAAAACTCGCCAACTAGTTAGCATGGCAACTAGTTAAAGAACTAGTCGTACTGCGTTAAAACTCACCAACTAGTCAGCATGGCAACTAGTTGGTAAGCGGAGCATACAAATACATCGTCGCGTGGCGCGTACGCTGAAGACAGCTTTGCTTACATTTGCCGGTTGTACACCCTACCTTGGATTGTGCTACATTTGTTTTGTTTTTTTGTGGGTTTTTTGCCCTTCGTTATGGCTCCCAGGTATAAGTCAGACTCTTCTGTTTTTATGTCCTAGTTTTTGATGACCGCCATGTTAGCATATTCAAGTGACAAAGGTACTTAAGTGTTCTCTTTCACTTCGTCCACGTCGCATCAGAAGCTTTGTTCGCGCAACCTGATATTAAATCGCGTGTTGTCGCGTCATTTTACATGTTTATGTGGAACTGCAGCTCAATCTACGCATATAACTTTTACGGAAAATCAAGTGATGTCGCACCAGGGGAACAGAACTGCGACATAAGTTAAGGACCTTTTACGTACCTGTATGATAATATAAAATGAATTTGGTGCAGATTTGTGAAGACATTTTTTTTCCCTTGTCCCAGTTTGGAGCTGTAATTCATTGAACTTACATTCACCCGCTGCTGCTGTTTTTGGGCACAGAGACCAGGAGTGCAGTCCCCTGTGTGTGTTACTCAGGTTTTGAATAAATACTTTATTCAGGACCAGTTAAAAACTCAGACCAAAACTAAACTTTTAGAAGTCAAATAAATGTAGAAAAACAAAAACAAGCCAACGAAACCATTTGTGGTATAATATATAAAAAAAAACATTGTAACTGCACGAACGCGTGAAGGTGCGATACTTAAAGCTGGTACTTTGCCAGTACTAGAGTAAAGGCAAAGTTAGCGTAAAATTAAAAATGACTATTTCTCCACTTCTCCAGGTGATAGACACCCAGGGCTGTAGCGTCCTGTTTAATAGGCACTTAAGGGGAAAAAAAACTGTTAAAAGAGGGGCTCTTACACTCGGTCTTTGTGGGGACGGGATCCCCCCGGTGCAGACAGGGAAAAAATGGAAAAGTTGGAATACACAGGTAATGTCCTGCAAGAGCCAAAAAAACTTTCACCTTTTCTGAAGGTGACTATAGCTCTGTGAGAGTCTGTCTGCCTGTGGAACATTTACACTTCCTATTGGCTTTGACTTTTCTCAGAGGGAGAGGAAACTCAGAAAAGGCCACATTATTCCCACATACGGTATTGTATGTACTGTAGTGTTTATGTGTCAGGTTATTGGCATAGACAGTTAAAAAAAAAAGGTAGCTGCATTTTACAAGTAATTCCATCATCTGGGTTTTTACCCCACACCTGCAGCCGCAGACTGAAAAGGTGATTTTGAATTTTTTCTTTTAAGCCAGATTTTATTTGGTGACAAATGTTGTTCCATCACTGACGTTTTTTGGCCGATGACCCCATTTTAACATCACAGATTTCTGGCGACCCCAGATGACACTTGTAAAATCCAGACTGAAGGAAACCTTCGTCAGATTCTCTCTGTCTTTCTTATGAATGTTTCTCAATTCTTTCCATGTTATTTTCTGTTGTTCTCTATTGATCGCAAGTTTGTGTTCGAGGCGCAAGTACTCACCTAGCTGTAGCTTGTGAAGTCACGGTTAGGTTGGTGAGGATCCTTCAGCTCCTCTCGCTTCCCAAAGGTCTCTCATTGTCCACTGGTTACTGTTCTTCTTCCTCTTCCATTGTCCTTTTTCGTTGTTTCCTCAACCGACCGTCGTCCTGATGTCCCTTGGGGCACGGGCGCAGCGTATCATGCAACCAATGATGTCGTTGTTCTGTTGTCTGTCGTAGCTCACATTTAGGAAATTTGATGGGTGTCGTAACATGCGGAGACAGAATTAGACATTATCAAATCAATAATGTAGCGAATGCAGCAGTTGGACGACTGGATTGAGCAAAGGATGATGAAGGTGAAGAACAAGAGGGAGATCCCAGAGAAGATTCACCGATGTAGTGAGGGAGGACATTAGGCTTGGTGAGGTGAGGAGACAGACAGTCGACTGCGTTGACTCTTAAAGCAGAGTTTCTGACTTGACCTTATTAAAGGAAAAAAGCCAATGAGGAACTCTTTTCTCACGGTCTGAAACGACGAGGTGAAAATGGGAAAACAGCAGATAAAAAAGAGGGATGAAATTGCCGAACAGTCGTTCTGTAAGTAAGGCCATGCTGCAGCTCTTTCGGTAGAATCATTTCCTCCGCGGACAACGTCAAGGTCAAACAACGGTTAGCAAAACTATGCTTTTGATTAGATCCAAATACCACAAGTTTTCCCTTCATAATTCAGATCACATTGAAAAATATGCAACAACTGTCTGTCAGGCTGTCAACGTGTGTTGCTCCTGAAGCAGGGATGTTGTTTATAGTCGGGGGGAAAATCAGTTGCGAGCGGTGTTGCACAACTGGTTACTCGTCGACGTTTGCATTTTCGCTGTTTGTAAATGTGCAGTTTCTTCTGGGTACGGGGCCGCCTGCGGGTGTTTATGTGTAAAGAGAGGGCGGCAGCGGAGAGCCGGGGCTAACCTGTCCGTACAGATGAGGGTTGGCACGCGACTTCCAAACACCACATAATTCAACAGCTCATTTGCTGCTCTGCCTTAGCCTGCTTTACCGCCGATGTCATCAATCTCTGCGAGCCGGTCGTGCCATAAATATGCCACATTTCAGTCTTCGACATGACGAAAATCTGACAAATTATAGCTCAGCATGTGGAGCCATAAAAACACATCTATTCATTGCAGCCTTAATTAGCTTGTTCTCCAAAGCCTCCAAATCAAACAATTAAGATCACTTAATCATATTAGAACGCAGAAATATTTCGAGCAATAATTTGCCTGCTATAATTAGATACGCATGCAATGGAAAAAATATTTTTTTTACATGAGCCGTGTTTTGGAGATATCTATATGTGGTTTATGTTCTATGCTCTATGCTAATGGTAGCTCGGTGACCTACTGCGTGGCACTGAGTAACTTCTGTGCTCAGTGAGTGAGTGAGTGAGTGAGGGGCTGTTCACTGATCCAGCTCACATCAAAGCTGATGGAAGCCTGGCTCCAGGCCCAGCATCATGACAGACTGGCGGGAAGCCCAGAAACTCAAGTCCCTGGATCAAGGCCTACAGGCCCGGGGCAGGAGGTTGACAGGACTCCGACTATAAGGCCCTGATGAATGGGTTCTGGCACCCCACTGGTAATGTGTGCGTGTGTGTTTGTGTGTGGATATGTACATAAAAATGGCTCTCCACCGCAACCCCCACCCCCCGCCCCCTTCTGAAGCGTGACTGAAGTTACAGGCCGCATTTAATGACAACATGTTCTTCACAATCAAATGCATTTAGATCCAAATCGTAGATACAGTGATTTAAGCAAATCCTCGTTAAAAGCTACAGAGGATTATATCCCCAAATGTTACAAATCCCCATTTTAAGATAGTTGGTATGCTTCTAAATTTGTAGCAAGTGAAGTCTGTGGTTTGGAGTTGAATTCACTAAAATCCATATGAAACAAACAGAAGGATATAGAAAATATCTGTAGTCTTTACCCTGATAAACTGTGTTGAACCTATTTTTAAAAACGATCCACTATCCAACACTGAGACCATTGAGGGGGCAGAAACAGGATTACCACTGGTTTCCATCCACCTCTTTAAAATGACTATTATTTATGGCCATTCTTTTTGTCAACATCTGAGTCCCTTTTATATGAAACCTCTAAATATCTCTTTTTGTGTATCAGTCGCATTTCTTCGAACTGTGACCTCCGAACCTTGATACTATGGGATGAAAACAAATACCGTGACACAAGTAGTACCAACAAAAACACAAAGTAGCCAACAAAAAAAACGTCGGCCGAAGCACAAACCTATGGTTCTCAGTCCTACCTATCTGACCTACACACCAACCAACGGGCATACCGATTACTAATATGATACTTCTTAAAGTTTGGTTTTGTAATGAAATATACAGTGAACTGGAAGGCAGTGGTATATAAAGTCTATTGGCCTATGAAAACACCTGTTGCATTCAGCTAACACCAGCTGATTGGTGCTCAACAGGATGTAGTGAAAAGCCAAAAAAGTGTCGTTACTGCATTAAATTTACCTTCAAACAAGTGAGTCTCAAAAAACCATAGTCATTGACCATTAAAAGAAAATTGAAACATGGATGACGTTTCCATTGTTGTTGTCTCTTGAATGATCGCAGGTGCAAAGATCTGGATAATGTTTCCGCACATTAAATTCACGTTAGTCTTTAATGTAGTGGTTCCCGACCTCTTTTGGCTTGTGACCCCATTTTGACATCGCAGATTTTGGTGACCCTAGAGACGAATTTTATCTTCAGTCACGTGATCTCAGTAGTAAGTGAAGATTCGCCAGCTGAGATATTTTTCTATACCGTATTTTATGTGAACTTGATTCACAGTTATGAAAGTAAAGACACGTATTTAAGATGATGTGCTTTTATATATACATGTATATTATATCATATATATTTATTGTTAGAAAAATATATTTTTTTATCAGTAATTACTTTTTATCAATTACTAGACATTTCAGGTGACCCTATTTGAATTCCAGGTGTCCCAATATGGGGACGCGACCCCAAGGTTAAAAAGCAAACTTTAATGCAGTGACGACTGTCATTAGTCATTAGGGTCTAGGTGTCTGTGGGCATCACACTAACATTAAATTACATGAGAACAATACTATCAAAGTGTAGGGTCGATCACATTGAGCAGCAGTCACAAGCCCATCTTTAGATGACTACGATCACGATAATGACCTGTAAACCTGTTACCAGTAACCTGTTACTGGCTAACTGTGATTATTACTGGTCCGATCTCTTCCTTTTCATTTGATTATTTTTCCCCCTAAAATCTTAGATCTGTTAAAAGTGAAGTAAGATTTAAAAACTTAGAGTTTAGTTACTGCATAAGAGTTTGTAAAGTGTAGATGGCGATGGTATAATCTAAAAATATGTAACCAGGACCAGTGGATACGCATCTGGTTTAGTTTGTCATCGTTCCATGAAAAAAAAAAAAACAGAGAGAATAAACTTTCACTTTACATAAGCACACATGGGCCTATTTTTAGACATTTGTGAGGGTGGATTCAATTACTACTAATAGGCAGTGAAAACACATTCTGACTCAAACCGTAAACAGTTCAAAGTTAAAGGACCCTTTCATTGTCTCGCTGGACGTCCGAGGTACTTCACAGTACACTTACGTACAGTATTTATGCAGCACATTTTACGAGTATCATTTCATCATTCACATGCTGTCAACAGCCTACTGACACCAGACCAGCCTCATTTATTTTATGTTGTTTTTTAACTCTCCCTCTTGTCCTTCGCAAGAGTGTCCTCACACCGGGTTTGCATCTTGTCCCAGAATCAGAGTATGAGGAAAAGTTAGCAAAAGCCGTGCAGTACAGGAGCACACACACACACACAAAAGGCATATTATCAGCCACCAAGTCATCAAGACCCAAAGCACAATACAAGGGTTAGAATTGTAAATTTAGATCTTGGTGTTGTAGTGACCAAAACTAAACAGCAGGGGTGTCCAAAGTTTTCTTTTGAACCATTAAAATGAATTGGAAATTAACATTTTTTGTGTTATTTTATAACAAAGGGCATGGGCCACGGTTCACAAATCGCCCTCAGGCCAGACTTTGGACATGACAGGCGAGAGGGCCTTTACAAAGTTAAAATGTTTTGATTGGTCACATCATCTAACAGAGAAACATATGCATCATCCTTTTTACAACAGAAACAACCAAATACATTTGTCAGTCTGTGTGCTGTGACAAGCACCATATTTACACCAGGACACAGAGCAGACGCAGCACAAGCCTCCGTCCTCCAGAGATGGAAAACATTATTCACCACTGACCTACAGAGCGGTGATGTGCCTTTGAATCCAGAACATCCATGTATACTGTACTCTGACTCTCATGTAGCCTGGCTTGAAGTCAGAGCATGGATAAGCCTGTTATCTCATTTATGGAAAATACTGATCTTATATACCTCACATAGTCACTTGGAATGGTCAGAGATTTTCCACTGAGGCCGGTCGTTCAGAAACGGAAGCAGATTTCACAACACGAAACAGCGGCGGGCACAGAAATCCCGTTTGACTTCTGTTTGACTTTCAGATGCTAAATATAACATACATGAAACGTTGTTTGTTATTCCCTGGAGCACATTCGTCTCCAGCGATTTTCATCTCCGAGCATTAACCCTGTTTTCGTGTAGGAGATTAATGCGGATTTGCCTAATGGAAAATGTAACAACGACAAGCAAAAATGTAAGTAAATGTCATGTTGAAAAATACTGAGAAACTTACTTTGGCTTAAGAAGCCCAAGCAAGTTTATGGCCAATTCTAATTTCTCATTTTAATCCTAAACATTATACTTCATTCCATTGAACTGGATAAAGGCAGAGATCCAACGCTAACTAATACACATGTGCAAGAATGCAGGATGTGAGTATTAGTATCTTCAGACATGAAATCATTAAAAAGAATGTCGCAGACACATTGTGAGGAGTGGCTTTATAAAACCAGGAGGACAGATTCGCAGTGAACCGAGGTCTGCAGCCGACATTCAACCATATAAAGTCTAAAAAAGGTGGCACCATCCGCTCAGTGGCACGCTGGCCGTGCGAGCAGTGGAGCATGTTAGCTGTGGTTCTGTCTGCCGTGTGTCTGCAGTCTATGGTGAGATGGGTCACTGACGACCTGTCCTACCAACGCACGCTGAGGCTCTCTTTTTAAAGCAAGCAATAAAAACT